GAGGTTGCTGTGAGCTGTGATGCCATGGCACTATACCTAGGGGGATAGCTTGAGGCTCTGTCTCAAAAAAAAAAAAAAGTTCCAACTTCACCCCCATACACACCATACAATTTATCCATATAATAAAAAACCACTTGTACGGTGGCAGCCATAGCTCAGTGGGTAGGGCGCTGGCAACATAACACTGAGGCTGGCGGATTCAAACCTGGCCCAGGCCAGCTAAACAATAATAAAAAATAATAATAATAACCAGGCGTTGTGGTGGGCGCCTTTAGTCCCAGCTACTTGGGAAGCTGAGGCAAGAGAGTCACTTAAGCCCAAGAGTTTGAGGTTGCTGTGAGCTGTGATGCTATGGCATTCTGCCGAACGTGGTCTAGTGAGACTGTCTCAGAAAAAAAAAAAACTTGTACCCCCTAAACCTATTGAAATTTTTTTTTTTAAGTTATGCAGAAGGCATGCTGGCACACACATATCATCCTAGCTACTCTGGAGGAGCCCAGGAGTTCAAGGCTGCAGTGTGCTGTGATCACACCTGTGAAAATTGCCACTGCCCTCCAGCCTGTGCAATATAGTGAGACCCCATCTCTAAGGAGATTCGTTTATGAGTTTGCATGAGGATGTCCGTTTTAGTGCTGCACGGTATTCCACTGTGTGGCCATAGCACTGCTTCCTATCCGATCACCTGTCCCTAACAGCAACATGCTGTGACGTTGCTGTTAGAATAAGTGAAGAGGGCTCTTTTACCTGCCCGAGTGGCTTCCTTGTCTGTGGACATGTGCACAGTTAGATCACAGTGTATGTAAAAGCCACATCTGTTTACGTTTCATCATTCCCACATGCACTTAGTCCACACATGCTAAAATCTCACTGCACCTGATTTTTGGTGACTAATATTCTGCCACTTAGGTACATCATAATTCACTTAACCAGTCCCCAGTTGTTGGAGACAGAGGTTGCCTAACCATTTTGCAGGAACATTTTTGTCCCTCCTGTAGAGCCCTGACAATGGCTGTCTGGGGTCCTGTCATCCTCCCCACAGGTGAGCCCAAGAACTTGACGGCCCCATTGAGCATCAGCAACGGGACAGCTTCCGCCAGCACCTCAGAAGATGCCATCAAGAACATTCTGGAGCAAGCGCGCCGAGAGATGCAAGCACAGCAGCAAGCTCTGCTGGAGATGGAGGCAGGTCCCCGGGGCCGCTCGGTGCCTCCCTCGCCCCCAGAGCGGCCCTCAATGGCAGGCGTGAGCCAAAATGGGGCCCCAGCCTACGTCAAACAGGAGGACAGCAGCAGCGGAGTGGGGACTTCAGCGCAGACGCCCCTTACGGTCTTGTCTCCAGCTGCCTTTGTGCAGAGCATCATCCGCAAGGTCAAGTCTGAGATCGGTGACGCCGGCTACTTTGACCAACACTGGGCATCAGATCGCGGCTTGCTCAGTCGCCCCTACGCCTCAGTGTCACCTTCTCTGTCCTCGTCCTCCTCCAGCTACTCTGGCCAGCCCAATGGGCGGGCTTGGCCCCGAGGGGATGAGGCTCAAGCAGCCACTGAAGACGAGGCGGCAGGGTGCGAGGAGGAGTCCCCAAGGGTGGGTGAACCCAAGGCCGAGGGCAGCATCCCAGAGGCGGGCAGCGGGCGGCTAGCCTACTACCCAGCCTACGTGCCACGCACCCTGAAGCCTACCGTGCCACCCCTGACCCCGGAGCAGTACGAGCTGTACATGTACCGTGAGGTGGACACTCTGGAGCTGACCCGCCAGGTCAAGGAGAAGCTGGCCAAGAACGGCATCTGCCAGCGGATCTTTGGGGAGAAGGTGCAGGTGGAGGTGGTGGGGGGCAGGGACAAGCAGGATCCCAACCCAAGCAGGCACCTAGGCCCTGTGTCCTGTGTCCGGTTGCCTGGGCCCCAAGGGAAGGAGGGTCACTGCAGGACTGGCCTGCAGGTCTATAGTGGTTAAAGTGAAAAGCTCCTCACCTGCCCCCTCCCATGGGCCCTCCATTTTTCTTGGGGTTTCAGCCCAGCCAGTGTCCCCAGGGTGTCCTGGTGGGTTGGTGCTCCTACAGCTTTGGTTTTCACTGTCACCTGCACCCTTAGCAGAGGAACAGGCAAAGGGCCAGGCAGGCTCAGAGGAGGCAGTGGCTTAAGAGGAGGCACAAAAGGCTTCCTAGAAGAAGGGACACTTGAGAACTCTCAAAGGGCAAGAAAGATTTTTACATGTCGAGGTGTCAGGAAGGGTGCTAGACGTGGGGACACAGCACAAGCTCACAGGAGGTACTGAGGGGACAAAGGTCAAATGAAGGCAGCTTGCCCTCACCAGGGAGGGCAAGGAGAACCAACCCAGAGTGCCAGGGGATGGCTCACCTACCCAGCCCACTCCTACCGTCCACAGGTGTTGGGCCTGTCACAGGGCAGCGTGAGCGACATGCTGTCCCGGCCAAAGCCATGGAGCAAGCTGACGCAGAAGGGGCGCGAGCCCTTCATCCGCATGCAGTTGTGGCTGTCGGACCAGCTGGGACAGGCGGTGGGCCAGGCAGTGGGGCAGCAGCCCCGCACTACCCAGGGTGAGTGCATGGGTGCCCCTTCCCCTCTGTGGGGCTATTTTTTTGTGCTTTCTTGTTGTGGTGTACCTTAATTAATTTTGTTCTTGTGGTAAAATTTTCCTACCATGAAATGTACCCTTTTAGCCATTTTTAGAGTATACAGTTCAGTGGCATTTAATATATATACCATACTGTGCAGCCATCACTTCTGTCTAACTCCAGAATGGTCTGACCATCCCAGAAAAGAAACCCCATACCCATTAAGCAGCTATTTCCCATCCTCTGTCCCCCAGGCCCTGGCACCTCCAAATCCCCTTCCTGTCTCTAGATTTACTTATTCTGGACATTTCTTACAAATGGCCTTTTATGTGCAGCTTCTCTTGCTTAACATGCTTTTAGGCTTCATCTAGGTTGTAGCTGTGTCCAAATTTCATTCCTTTCTATAACTAAATAATATTCCAGGCTCGGTGCCTGTAGCTCAAGCGGCTAAGGCGCCAGCCACATACACCTAAGGTGGCGGGTTCGAATCCCCAGCCCGGGCCCACCAAACAACAATGATGGCTGCAACCAAAAAAATGGCCAGGCGTTGTGGCGGGCGCCTGTAGTCCCAGCTACTTGGGAGGCTGAGACAGGAGACTCGCTTGAGCCCAGGAGTTGGAGGTTGCTGTGAACGTGATGCCATAGCACTCTACCCAGGGGTATAGCTTGAGGCTCCGTCTCAAATAAATAAATAAATAAATAATATTCCATTGCATAGACAGACCCTCTCTGAGCTACTTCTAATAATGCTCCTATGAATAGTCAGCCACATGCATGTTTTTGTTTGAATACCTGTATTCAGTTCCTTGGGGCAACTATCTAGGTCAGGGGTCCTCAAACTTTTTAAACAGGAGGCCAGTTCACTGTCCCTCAGACCATTGGAGGGCTGGACTGCAGGCTCCGGGACAAGTTGGCTGCTAAGCAGAACGGGTAGCGGTGGCAAAAACACCCGGCAGGCCAGATAAATGTCCTAGGTGGGCTGCATTGGCCCACAGGCCGTAGTTTGAGGACACCTAATCTAGGTGAACAACTGCCAGGTCACATGGTAATTCTGTGTTTACTGACAAAGTTCCAGGAGGTCTCCATTCCCCTATTTCCTCACCAACACTCATTATTTTCCATTTTTTAATGATAACCATCATAGGTGATGTGAAGTGATATCTCACTGTAATTTTTATCTGCATTTCCCCACAGTCTAATTGTTTGGGTTTGTTTTTGTTTTTGTTTTTCTGAGACAGAGTCTTACTCTGTCTACCTAGCTAGAGTACCATCATGTCATAGCTCACAGCAACCTCAAACTCCTGGGTTCGAGTAATCCTCTTGCTTCAGCCTCCCAAGTAGCTGGTACTACAGACACCTGCCACAATGCCTGGCTATTTCTTCTGTTTTCAGTAGAGATGGTGTCTCACTCTTGCTCAGTCTGGTCTTGAACACCTGAGCTCAAGCAATCCACCCACCTTGGCCTCCCAGAGTGCTAGGATTACAGCTGTGAGCCACTGCATGCAACCATTATTTGGGTTTTTTAAGATTTCATTATTGAGGAAGGATTTGAGCACAGGTAGGATAAACTAAGCCAGAAAGATCAGGAATGGTGTTCCTTGTAGAAGGAATAGCCCAAGCACAGGCTGACGCAGGATCATACACAATTTGGGGAGGGATAGGGGTAGAGGGAAAGCTAGATACTTCCCGTCCTGCAGAATGGGAAGCCAGGGCCTAGAGGTAACAGAGATGCATGTAACACCCCAGGGACAGAATGTCTGACCCACCCTCATAGCCTCTGCTCATCCACAGCCCACTGGACCTCGAGGCAACAGAGTGGATCCATCATCCACAAGACCTCGCAGGATCTGTCTGTGGATGGGTGTCTGGACTTCTTCCAGCCCCTCTTTACTCCACACTGGCCACTGGGGCACTGGAAACACCCAGGGAGTCAGAGATGACCTGAATACAGGGGAGGGTTATAAAGTGTGCCTTCCCCCCTCACCAGTTACCTGCACGGACCCTGGTGGCATTAACAGCCTCATTGCCAATGCATACAAAGTTTGACATCGGTATGCCATACACTTCTGTCTCAGGCTTCTCAGAATTCTGTAGCAGTTAAGGAAGCCCTGTCCCTACAGGGTCCTTTTCTCTTCCATCTTCCCTCCATTTCCTTCCATCTCCCTCCATCTCCCACCTCCCATCTCCCTCCATCTCCCACCTCCCATCTCTCTCTCTCTCTCTCTCTCTCTTTGTCCTACTTCTCTCTTTCTCTGTCTTTCTCTGTCACTCTTTCCCTCTCTCATTATCTTTCTCCCCTGCTCACTCTGTCTCTCCCTGTCCCTCTCTTTCCATCCCTTTCCCTCTATCTCCCTCCGCCATGACTATCCTTCCAGTTTGCCCTGGACAGAGGGATTTCCCAGCATCTGACACTCTGTACTAAAACCAGGAGAGTCCTGGGAAAACTGGGACTAGTTGGTCACCCTGCTTTCTCCCCTTGCTGCTCCCAGTCTGATCCCCTGGGCAGTGGACCCAGCCTCTCCCTGTCATCACCTCCCAACTCCAGCTCAGTGGTAGTTCACATGTGACCCACCAGCCCTGTAATTAGTTTTCCTCTCCCAAAAGAGATGATTTCTGAATCTTTCCACTATTTCATCAAAAGCCATTCTAAAAGGCTCAGCGCCTGTGGCTCAAGCGGCTAAGGCACCAGCCACATACACCTGAACTGGTGGGTTTGAATCCAGCCCGGACCCGCCAAACAACAATGACGGCTGCAACCAAAAAATAGCTGGGCATTGTGGCGCACACCTGTAGTCCCAGCTACTTGGGAGGCGGAGGCAAGAGAATCGCTTGAGCCCAGGGGGTTGCTGTGAGCTGTGATGGCACAGCACTCTACCCAGGGCAACAGCTTGAGACTCTGTCTTAAAAAAAAAAAAAAAAAAAAAGCCATTCTAAAAGAGTAGCCAGAGAGGCTGGCAGTCTGCCTGGGGAGTTGGGGTACGGTGGAGCCTTTGTTGTTTCCTTCCCCTTCTCTGGACGTATCTCCATATAGAAACCTAACTACTTAGGTGGGGAGTTGGGTATGGATGGTTTTCCAAGAAGTAAATACCTTCAGAGACCCTCAATTCCCAGAGGCACAAAACAGCCTCTCACTTTCCCAGGCTGGTTCTTTCCACCAGCTCTAGGGCAGAGTGTGTCCTCATCAGCTCCAGCATAACACAGATGCCACCTGCATGGATAGGATCAACCTCAACTGGGACAGGGCTGGGGGACAGTAGAGTTCTGGAGACCCCAGACCTGGGCTGCCAAGTCACATAGACTGTGATGCTACTACTCAGAACTTTAGGGCTTCGCCTTGAACCTTTTCGGGGTACTCAGGTCCTGGCTGAGATTTACTCTTTTGACAGGCATCTTCCCAGCACCTCCTGCCTCCCCAGGCCCTGGGGACTCACTTGTAACTAACACATGGTCTTTGTCTTTCATGGTCATAATTGGTAGATGAGTGTTGGTAGATTGGCGTAAGCTGACCTGAGCTCAAGTCCTGCTTTGTTACTAGTGGCTATGTGATCTTAGACACATTGCCTAGCCTCTCTGAACCTTAGTTTCCTCGTCTATAAAATGAGATGACAGCACTTTCCTCTTAGAGGTGTTATAAGGGGTGCTTGAGATCATGAGCATAAAGCATGACACTCCACTGGGCATGTAGTAAGTGTTCAATAAAAGGAAGCTTTATTATCATCGTTGTTATTGTCATCTGATAAGGAAGAAATTTGGCCCCAGCAAGGAATTAGAGTGAAGTGTGACACTGTGTCAAAGTGCTGTTAGACCCCAATGTGTCCTTTAGGGAAGAGATACTGCAACTGGGTCTTGATGGATGCATAGGAGTTCAAGGTTACAAGGAAGGCCTTCAGGTGTCAAGACCAGTCAGAGCGGCTCGGCGCCTATAGCTCAACCGGCTAAGGCGCCAGCCACGTACACCTAAGGTGGCGGGTTCGAATCCCCAGCCCGGACCCGCCAAACAACAATGATGGCTGCAACCAAAAAATAGCCGGGCGTTGTGGCGGGCGCCTGTGGTCCCAGCTACTTGGGAGGCGGAGGCAGGAGACTCGCTTGAGCCCAGGAGTTGGAGGTTGCTGTGAGCTGTAATGCCACGGCACTCTACCCAGGGGGACAGCTTGAGGCTCTGTCTCAAAAAAAAAAAAAAAAAAAAAAGACCAGTCAGAGCAAAAACATGGGCTTAAGAGATCTTAGGATGTTTGCAAAGGGCAATGAAGGGGCACTCTGCAGCTCTAGGGCTGTGGTCTGGACAGGACAAAAGAGTCCAGAGGAGTAGGGTGCCAACCCCATATGCTAGAGGTGGTGGGTTCAAAACCAGCCCTGGCCAAAAACTACAAAAAAAAAAAAAAAAAGGAAGAAAGAAAGAAAAAGAAAAGAAAAGAAACTGAAAAAAAGAGTCCAGAGCCTTAATACCAGGCTGAGGAGAGAGACATTTCTTGTGCATTTTCTCGAGGCAGTGGGGAGCCATTAACAATTCTGGAGCATGGGAGTAGCCAGATCAGAGTGATCCACTCACCTAACGCCTAACACAGGGAAGGAAAGAAGATAGCCTGGGCTCAGGTTGTCCCTTCTGGAAGCAAAGCCTCTGCTCCCTTCCCTTCAGCTGACCTAAGTTTTTATGTTTGTTTTAACAAATTTCCAGCAGGTGGCAGTTGAATGCCTTAAGAAAGAGGCACCATTTTCTTTAAAGCTATGGTGAAGGCAGCTGTGTCCTTAATTAGCCTCTCATCTCTGCTGTTGTTGGCATATACAAAGGCTGCATCACAAAGATGAAGAAGCGGGTGGCGCTTATGGCTCAAAGGAGTAGGGCGCCAGCCCCATATGCCAAGGGTGGTGGGTTCAAACCCAGCCCTGGCCAAAAACTGCAAAAAAAAAAAAGAATGGAGAAGCACAAATCCTGTGTACTCAATCTTGATATGAGAACAATTAATGACCTAATACATGATGGAGGGGTGGGAGAAGGGGAGAGCAGAGAGAAGGGGAGGGGGATGGGGGAAAGGAAAAGCAGAGAGAGGGAAGGAGGGAGGGAGTGGGACACACCTTTGGGGGGCAAGACACAATTATAAGAGGGATTTTACCTAACAAGTGCAATCACTATAACCTGGTTTCTTCTACCCTCAATGAATCCCCAACAACAACAAAATTTTTAAAAAAAGAGGCACCATTTTCTAATTGGCTTGGATTAGAAGTAGCCAGTGCAGGGGTTCCTAGACTGCCCTCACCATACTTTCCTCTGAATTTGAGGCAGCACCCCGGGCATATCTCCCTGCCCTGGTGAGTTTGTTCATGTCCCACTGGGAAGCCCAGTGGGTAACTGACGCCTCAAGAGGTGGAGGAGGGCTGAACATGTGGACCACATTATCTGTGGAGTCCTCTCCCTGGCCTAGGGTTGGCTGTCATAAGTTTTGCCAAACTGTGTGAGTCCACAGCAGGTTGCATTAACCTCCTTCTCTTCCTCTCGTGGCCCACAGCCAGCCCTACGGAACCAAGATCCTCGCCATCTCCACCCCCCAGCCCCACAGAGCCGGAGAAGAGCTCCCAGGAGCCCTTGAGCCTGTCCCTGGAAAGCAGCAAGGAGAACCAGCAGCCAGAGGGCCGTTCCAGCTCCTCACTGGGCGGAAAGATGTTCTCAGGCAGCCAGACTACAGGGGGCATCCAGGAGATTGTGGCCATGTCCCCTGAGCTGGACACGTACTCCATCACCAAGAGGGTCAAAGAGGTCCTCACAGACAACAACCTAGGTACGGAGTGGCAGGAATCAGAAATGCTGCCTCCCACCTTGGTTGGTTCCTACTTGCTTTGAAAAGGTCCCTTGGGGCTTAGCGCCTGTAGCTCAGCGGCTAGGGCACCAACCACATATACCGGAGCAGACGGGTTTGAACCCAGCTCGGGCCTGCCAAACAACAATGATAACTACAACCAAAAAATAGCCTCCCAGCTACTTGGGAGGCTAAGGCAAGAGAATCACTTAAGCCTAAGAGTTTAAGTTTGCTGTGAGCTGTGTGACGCCATGGTACTCTACCGAGGGTGACATAAAAAGACTCTCAAAAAAAAAAAAAATCCTTACAGTGAGGTCCCAGGATACCTCAGTTCAGCCTGAAGGTGCTGACCAGCCTGGGACATCCAGGACCTGGTATGAGGCATTTGGCTCTGACCAGGGTCTGGGATGGGACAAAAAGGTGAATTTAGGTCTGATAGGACCTGGAATTCTCAGCCCAGAGCTCTCAAAACTAACTTCCAGCTGGACTTAGAGAATCCCAGTCACTGAGACTCCAACACATTCCTTATCCAGTACTGAAGTCCTTCCCTCTGGGGGCTTGCAGAGTAATATGTTCTAGGGCTCTTTCCTCTTATGGATCACAAACTCCCCTAACTTTTAGATGCAGGTTATGTATCCCCTTCCCAGAGGGATGCATGCAAACCCCAAATTTATCACTATAATTTCTATTATAAAAATATGACATATTCATTGTTTAAAAATACCAAACAGCACAAGAGGAGAAAAAAATTAAACCTCCCCTCACCTCTTAATCACATTCCAGTTTTAATGTATCTTTGGCACTTTCTGAACATACAAGAATATATATACACCTAATTTCTTCTCTTCTTTTTTCTATATAGATGAAATTATACAAATATTGTATCACAACTAGATTTTGAAAAATGAACACTAAGGCCAGACATGATGGCTTAGGCCTGTAATCCCAGCACTTAGGGGGCTGAGGTAGGCAGATTGCCTGAGCTAGAGGGAGACCCCCATCTCTAAAAACAGCCAGGCATTGTGGCAGGTACCTGTAGTCCCAACTACTCAGGAGGCTGAGGCAAGAGAATTGCTTGAGCCCAAGAGTTAGAGGTTGCTGTGCGCTATGATGCCAGGGCACTCTACCAGGAGCAACAAAGCGAGATTCTGTCTCAAAAAAATATATAATAAAATAAAAAATAAAATTGTGATAGAATCTGTCAAATTATTCTCTAACACGGTAATACAAATTTGTACGAAGCTTACAGGTGATTTCAGAGATCCCCTAGGAGTGAAGAGCCTCTTAAGTTGAAAAAAAAAAAAAAAAAAACTTTTGTTGGCTACTGTCTAATCCTGCCCCCCAAATCTCTTTGGCAGACAAATGCCCTTCAAATTCACACTGGGAGGCAGCACCTATGGCTCAGTGGGTAGGGCACTGGCCCCATATACCAAGGGTGGCGGGTTCAAGCCCGGCCCTGGCCAAACTGCAATAAATTCACACTGGGTGTAGATTCCCCCAAATCCCTGGCCTTCCCTACTGAGTTTGTAGAGATGGCCCCTGGGGCCTCCCCTGTCTTCTGACCTATTCCATGTCTCTCCTGGGAGCAGGTTTCTCTCCTCAGCCTGGGTTAACAGGATGCCCTCCTCCCCTACCCCCAGGTCAGCGGCTGTTTGGGGAGAGCATCCTAGGCCTGACACAGGGCTCTGTGTCTGACCTGCTGTCCCGTCCTAAACCCTGGCACAAGCTGAGCCTGAAGGGGCGGGAGCCCTTTGTCCGAATGCAGCTGTGGCTCAATGACCCCCATAATGTAGAAAAGCTGAGGGACATGAAGAAGCTGGAGAAAAAAGGTAAGACTTGGATGGGGGATGGGCCCCAGCACCATCTGTGGGTCTGTCCTCAGATTTTCTTCTTAGAATTATATCTAGGGGGCCAGGCATGATGGCTCACGCCTATAATCCTAGCACTCTGGGAGGCTGAGATGGGTGGATTGCCTGAGGTCACAGGTTTAAGACCAGCCTGAGCCAGAGTGAGACCTCATCTCTAAAAATAGCCAGGTGGTGTAGCAGGTGCCTGTAGTCCCAGCTACTTGGGAGGCTGAGGCAAGAGAATCACTTAAGCCCAAGAGTTTGAGGTCACTGTGAACTGTGATGCCACAGCACTATACCGAGGGGGACAAATTGAGACTCTGTCTCCAAAAAAAGGAAAAAGAACCATATCTAGTTGAAACCCAAATAAACCCAGGGCCCCAGTGGTCCAGTCTCTGCCTAGTATGTGACTACATGGAATAATTAATCTAGAAGAACACTATAATTGAGAGCAATTAAAATATTGACTACCTCTCATGAAAATCCAATACCCATCTCTCTCGGTATCCTTCCACACACTCATTGCTATTCCAAAGTCTGGAATAGCAGACTAGTTGCCAAGCCCAACTGCATGTTTCCCCAAAGACTGACTCTCCACCCCACTCTCTCTTCATTCCCTGTTACATAGCTCACCCTTTGCCCATTACACATATTCTAAACAATAAAGGACAGAACTGACCCAGCAAACAAGACTCCTCCCTTGTAGGGGTGGGTGAAGAGATTGCAAATTCTCTTATTTGTTAACATTATCTTATATCCTGATAAAATGAACCAGCATTGAGCACCTGCTATGCACCCGAGCAATCGCATACTGTGCATAAGGGATTCTTACAAATTAAAAAGCCCCAAAGCCTAGTTGGGAGATAGGAATAGTTGAAGTGGTCCTGTAGGGCATGAAGGTAGTGCATCTGAGGACCCAGGGGCAAGCCAGACTTTGAGGAACACATGGTAGGCCATGGCTGGGCCACTGTCATCAGGCAACTCTGCAGTTAAGAACTGGCCTGCTGGCTCAGCACCTGTGGCTCAAGCGGCTAAGGCGCCAGCCACATACACCTAAGGTGGCGGGTTTGAATCCAGCCCGGGCCCGCCAAACAACAATGACGGCTGCAACCACAAAAATAGCCGGGTGTTGTGGCGGGTGCCTGTGGTCCCAGCTACTTGGGAGACAGAGGCAGGAGACTTGCTTGAGCCCAGAAATTGGAGGTTGCTGTGAGCTGTGATGCCACAGCACTCTACCCAGGGGGACAGCTTGAGGCTCTATCTCAAAAAAAAAAAGAACTGGCCTGTTGCTTCCTGGCCGTATGACCTTGGGCAAGTTATGCCACCCACTCTTTCATCTGAAAATAAGAGTCAATAGCGTTCATCATAAGCATTGCTATGAGAATTAAGACTCTAATAACTCCTTTCATTCTCATGTGGCCTTTTTTCACACCTTCATGATTTGGGGGTCCAGATGTATCACACAGTTAATGGGTCATTTCAATCAGCAGGAGGACCAGGTTCTTAAGATTGGGGCATGGAGGGCTCTGGGCAGTGCTGGCCAAGACTGGTGGTGGTGGCCCACTCCCAGCCCTTCCTGCCTCCTTGCCCCAGCCTACCTGAAACGCCGCTATGGCCTCATCAGCACCGGCTCAGACAGTGAGTCCCCAGCCACCCGCTCCGAGTGCCCTAGCCCCTGTCTGCAGCCACAAGACCTGAGCCTCCTACAAATCAAGAAACCACGGGTGGTACTGGCGCCCGAGGAGAAGGAGGCACTAAGGAAGGCCTACCAGCTGGAACCCTACCCCTCCCAGCAGACCATCGAACTCCTATCCTTCCAGCTTAACCTCAAGACTAACACCGTCATCAACTGGTTCCACAACTACAGGTGGGACCCCAGGGAGCACCATAGGTGGGAGGGAGGGGCAGAGTCTTGGATGGACCCCCTTTCCTACCCCAGGGCCTGAGGGAGCCCAGCACTACCTCTGGGGGACAGGATACCAAGTCATAGGAGTGGATTAGGGTTAGAACACAGGCTAGCCTGGAGTGAATCCCAGCCCCATCACGTCCATCTGTCAGACCCTGGGCAAGTTACTTCACTTCCTTCAGCCTGACTTCTGACCTATAAAATGAGGATAATAACAGGATGTACTTTTTAGAGTTGTCCAGAGTATCTAAGGATCTAGCATGTGTATGTAAAATACCTGGAACATAGTGTACGATAGGTGTTAATGTTATTACTGTTACATGTTTTATTTATTGTTCCACCCAGCTTTCCCTGACTCTGCTTCTAAGAAGGGGTGGGAAATGAACAGTTTTGGGGCACAGGCCCAAGCAGCCCTGACTACCAAGTCTCAGATTGGAACCAGCGAAGCCCCACCCCCCACTCTCTTCAGGCTCTACCTACCTCAAACAGTGGCTGCCTGTGGCTGCCTGTTCCTGCCTGTTCCTGTGGCTGTTCCCACATCCCAGGTCTAGTTGGCAGAGCCTCCTAGGAGTTTAGTCTAAGGGTTAGCTCTGCGGAGACTTCCAAGGTGCTTCTTAAGGGCCAGCTGAGGAGATGGCTATGCAGAAGGGCTGACAGGAGAATCATGGGGTCCATCTCTGAGGTTCCTCCTCACTCACCAAGCTTTCTGAGCAAGAAATGTCTCTGTGCCAGAGAGGAGAGGCCACCCACCCATTTCAGGGGCAGAGAGAAGGTCCCTTGATCCCCAAGGGAGAGAGGGGGAAAAGGAGATTGTTGGAGTGGCATATTCAAAATCTCCTTTCTGGGGGTGGTGCCTGTGGCTCAAAGGAGTAGGGCACCAGCCCCATATACCAGAGGTGGCAGGTTCAAACCCAGCCCTGGCCAAAAACTGCAAAAAAAAAAAAAAAACCTTTCTGCTCAGTCTGGGTATTGAAATGACACAGACCCAAGTTCAAGTCCCACCTCAACTGCCTGGCCTCAGGCAAGTCATTTTACTTCTCTGAGTCCCACCCTTGTTTTACAAAGGAGACACCTAATACCTATCCCATAATACTTGATTGTGGACCAAATGAAATAATTTGGGGTGGCTCAACGCCTGTGGCTCAAGTGGCTAAGGCGCCAGCCACATACACCTAAGGTGGTGGGTTTGAATCCCCAGCCTGGGCCCGCCAAATAACAATGATGGCTGCAACCAAAAAATGGCCAGGTGTTGTGGCGGGCGCCTGTAGTCCCAGCTACTTGGGAGGAGACTCGCTTGAGCCCAGGAGTTGGAGGTTGCTGTGAGCGTGATGCCATGGCACTCTACCCAAGGGGATAGCTTGAGGCTCCGTCTCAAAAAAAAAAAAAAGAAAAAAGAAAAGGTGGACAACAGGAAGTTTTGAGAAAAAAATTATTAGGGATGCCCTGCTTTAGATTAAGGAATCAGGAAATGAAAAAGGCTAATTTATTCTAAGGTGTGAATAACTATTAGCTTCACATTTATACTTAATCTATAGTTTGAAAACTGTAATAATGGGTCTTTGGGCATTGAGCCATCCTAAAGCCGCTTACATCCCACCTCAGTGTTAAGTACAAGGGTGTCCCCATTTTACCTCTGAAGGTGGGTAAGGGAGATGCAGAAATCCCCTAGAAGGTGGGCAAGGCCACCTTTGTGGAAGGACTGAGGACTGAGAGAGGAGGGTAGACCAGGTGACCCCTCACCATCTCTCCAGGCCCAGGAGCCTGGAATGGGACCCCATGCCACCTGGACAGGGAGGCAAGAGTTAGAGGAAAGGGCAAGCTAAACTGCTGGTTTCAGAGCCCAGCTCTACTGCTCACTGGCCCTGTAGCCAGGGCAATCACTGTGCCTCTCTAAGCCTTGTCTCCGTCATTAACAGACGTCAAATAAGCATGCCCTCATGAAGTTATTATGGAAAATAAATAAAATAGGGTGGGCCTGTGGCTGAAAGGAGTAGGGTACCAGCCCCATATGCTGGAGGTGGCAGGTTCAAACCCAGCCCCAGCCAAAAATTGCAAAAAGATAAATAAGTAAATAAATAAACTGCAAAAAGTGCTTATCACAGTGACTAACACTTGATAAGCACCCATTACTATGTATGTGACTATAATTGTTAGTGTGACATATTAATAAAACAAAATTTATTATTAACACAAATGGGCAGAGAGCTGTAACACCAAAGGTTCTGAGGAGACCTCTGTTGCTCTGTGACCTTGGACAAGTCACTTTAAATCTCTGAACCTCATTGGCTACTGGAAAATAACTAATAGGGTCCAACCCATTCCTGGCTCATCCTGCTCTAAAACATAATTGATGAGCCTAAGTTTCCCTCCAACAGCAGGGAGGCCACTGAAGTCATTCTGGTCCCAGCTCTGCCCTCGCGTGCTGTAGCAATCTGGGCAAGTCACTCCCATGCCTCAGTTCACCCATCTGGGCTGATGCCTGAGAATCTAGAAAAGAAGCAGGGAGTTGTTGCCACAAAATAAATCAGGGTTTGACTTTGAGAAATGTTCTAGAAGGGTGCTATCCATTAAAAAATCTACATCAAAAAATAAAAGAAACATGAAATTAATCATAATATATTTTATTTAGACCAATATATCCAAATATAACTATTTCAACAGGTGATCAATATAAAAATATTATTAATGAGATCTTCTGCATTTTTATTTTGTATTAAGCATAAGATCTGGTGTGTTGTACTCTTTCAGCATACCTCAGTTTGGACTGGCCACATTTTTATGCTCAGGAACCACGTGTGGCCAGTGGCTTGTGTGCTGGACAGCATAGGTCTGAGCTTTAGAATTTAATAGCCCTGAGATTAAGCCTGCTATTTACTAGCTGTGTGATTTGGGGCAAGTTACTTAACGTCTGCGGGCCTGGTTTCCTTTCCTGTGAAGTGGGGATAATGTACCCACCTTGTAGAATTATTGAAAGGACTTACTTAATAAGATGGTGCATGTAAGGAGGCTTAGTGCCTTAGTGCCAGAGCAATGCTGAGAATCTAGGAAAGAACAGGGAGTTGTTGCCACAGAATAAATCAGGGTCTGGGGTTAGTGGGATCCCCTGTCCAGCCGCAGGCTCACCACCATCTCTGCCTCAGGTCCCGGATGCGCCGGGAGATGTTGGTGGAGGGGACCCAGGATGAGCCAGACCTCGACCCAAGTGGGGGTCCTGGCCTTCTACCACCAGGACTCTCCCACCCGGATCCCACCCCACAGAGCCCTGACTCTGAGGCTGAGGAGCAGAAGCCAACTGTGAAGGAACTAGAGCTTCAGGAGGGCTCTGCTTCTGAGGAGAGCGGCACACCTCTGACCACCCAGGACAAGGACCACGTGAGGATTAAGCAGGAACAGACCGAGGAGGACAATGAGGAGGAGGCAAGCAGCCAGCCCCAGGACTTAGGGGAGCCTGACAAAGGCCAAGGTCCCCCCAAAGAGGAACATCCTGACCCTAGTAGTGATGATGGACTCCTAAAAGTGGCCCCAGGGCCCCTCCTTCCAGGTGGAACCACCCCAGACTGCTCCTTACCACATCCCCCCCAGGAGAGTAAGGCCAGAGAGCAGCTTTACCTGGACCCTCTAAGTTTTAAGTCAGCCTCAGAGTCTTCACGCTGCAGCCTGGAGGTGTCACTGAACTCACCTTCAGCCGCCTCCTCACCAGGTCTCATGATGTCTGTATCACCTGTGCCCTCCTCCTCAGCCCCCATCTCCCCATCCCCTCCTGGCGCCCCCCCTGCCAAAGTGCCAAGTGCAAGCCCCACTGCTGATACAGCTGGGGCCTTGCACCCCAGCACTAAGGTGAACCCAAACTTGCAGCGGCGGCATGAGAAGATGGCCAATCTGAACAGCATCATCTACCGACTAGAGAGGGCTGCCAATCGGGAGGAGGCACTGGAGTGGGAGTTCTGAAGGCAAGGGCAAGGGACATACCCTGGTGACTACCTTCCTTCTCTCACTCACCCTCCAGACAGGAGGCGGGTAGGGAAGGAAGAACTCAACCATCAAAATGTGGACAGCAATGTTATGCCATTTATGTTTTTTGTTGTAATCCTAGTTCTATGAAGTTGTGAGTGAGCAGGTGGGTCAAATACCATTGCCTCTTCTTTTCAGCACCCCCTGCCCCAGGGAGTACCATTCCCAGGAATCCTGCCCCTTCTTCTCTACCCTGATCCCTCTGCAGGAGGCAGAAGCAAAATATCATCACATTTTCACCTGAAAACTCCAAACTCTTTTAGAAAAATAAATAAATATTTATAGACCTCTTTTAGATATTTTAATAAAGGATCCTTTGGAATTTATCCCCAGCGGATACGGTTTTGATATTACAGAGAGTTATAAAATCAGGATGCTGTCACAACTGTTGCGAAGTATACACTGAAGTTGTGTCGTTTTTTGCCACTAGATGAGATTAAAAGAAGACAATTGTTCAAAGCCATCACAGAACACTATAAGACTGACCAAAATTTAGATAACCTTTGAACCGTGGTTTTTTTTCCAATTCTGTCTGTGAGACACAGTGCATTGCTACCGCCCTTCCAGAAACCGTGCTGAAAAGAGAAAGTCCAAAAGACTCTAAACGAAAACCTTGATGCCGTTGAGGATGTGTTTCATTCTGGTGGTCTGTTTTGTAACCCTGATAACACGGAATGTCCTGTGCTATTGTAAATGTTGTAGAGATGTGGGCTGTTGCCTGACCATCCTATACAGATATAGCATGGTACAGAACAAACTGCTTACGCTCCCTCTAGTTAGAAACCTGTGGGCCATAAAGGTCAGACATCCATCTTGTCCAACTGTAGACAGGATGTGTTTCCAGATCCTTTGGAAAGCTGGGCATTGGGGGCAGGTGCTTGGAGAATGGTGCTTGAGCAAGAACAATCCCTTTCCCCAGCCGGAATCACAGCCACACCAGGAAGTTTCTCTACTGGTATGAGCATGGGTTTTCTACAAGACAATGGCCACCATCTTCCCCTCCTTACATTTTCTGAAAGTGACAGTGTTGGTCATGCCACAAACACTGAAGCTTAGCTACCAGCGCCAAAAAGTAGATTCCTCAAAAGACCCTGCTTCACTTCTCTCAAGCTGACCCAGGTGCTACCTCTGGAAAGCACATGCAACTCAAAGTCTGTGCAGAACTCTGGAAAGCCAAGTGCATGGCAGCATGTCCACTGTAGCCCCATCTCCAAGTCCACTCTCCCAGCTCCCAAAGCATGACCTGTCAGGGAGCAAGGCATAGTCATCCTTAGCAAGGCTTCTAGGGAAAGAGTTCCCAATTTGGTTGGAACAAGCCACCATATGACTGTTGAAACTCTCTCCCTTGTTTTTCCTTTTCCAACTCTTCATGGGGAGATGGGTAACTCCCCACAATGAAGGTAAAAAGATAACCGTACTCTGTGCCAGTCAATGCCAAGAGGAGAGATGGCTGATGGAGGTTTCAAGGATGCAGTGAGCATTTTGAACCCATTTGGGCAAAACCCAGCAAGCAGAAGGGGACAGATAAGGACCATTCCAGAAATCCCAACTCTCAAGCACCTGGCCTAAGCTGCAGTCTCCACACCAAACAGTCAACAACAAACGCCGAAGGAAAATCTATTCCACACACCCAGGCTATGCATTGAAGAGTTTTCCACTGTATACATTTTTATCCAGATGAAGGTATTTTTATATTTTGACAATAGGAAACAGTGACCAATTTTCAGAGTAATCAAATCTGGAACAAACGAAACATCTCCTTTTAGCCACCACCATGTTGCAATTAAGACAACCATGTGAGAACACACCACTTTTTACTGTTTAAACCAACACAACGTTGAATCCAGGCTTACACGCAGACTCCAGTTCCTAGAGAACTAAACTTGGCTTTAGTATGATGGGATTTGATTAAGCACTTAGTATAGTCTTTTGAACACAGAAATCCTGTTGTACTTAAAGCTAGCAGGCCCGTGAACAACTTTGTCAGGTTCACGTCCTATAACGGTTTAAAAAAAGAAAAAGGGAAAAAAACCCACACAAAACCATTTCTATGAGAGATTGACGAACTTTGTTTAAAATTTTAAAAAAGGAACATGTTCTGTAAACAAGTCACTAAATACAGAATTGTATAATAATTCTGGGTGTCCTGCTTCTTTGTTCTGGAATTAAGAGGGCAAATTAGGCATCAGCTCTGACGCTTAGAGGTATTTCACAAAATGGCATTTTTAAAAACTAGTTTTTAAATTGTTTACAACATTAAAATATGTCACATAAATATCACCATTACTGGCTTCTCTTGAAAATAGTAAGATCTGGCCATACCAGGCCCACATCGTAATGTGACAACTGCCAGCTGAGGAGTGACTGCCTTTGGACGGGGCACATGCCTGTGAGTTGCCTTGGTCCTCACCTGTGCCATCTGCCTGGGTCCTGTGGTTATCTGGGTTGGCACCAGTGCTTTGTGCCTCAGCTGCAGCAAAGGAAGAGGACTGGAATCTGTTTTCCCACCCAAGATTGCACCCTGGCCCCAAATCTTTGGCCACAGGCCACAGCTTTAAGGCCAACCAGTATACAAGTTGTGCCCACCTCCTTAAAGTGTGTGAGTTGTTGGTGCCCCCACCCTCTCAATGGGAAAATGCCAAGAGGGGTTTCCTGGGGACCAATGTAGCATCAGCCCTTTCCAGCTATATTACCAGGGCCTCAGTTTCTTCATCTGTAAAATGGGGATATCACTGCAGCTAGCTCATAAGGGTATTATGAAGAATAATCAGGCATGTGAAATGCTAAAAATAGTGTGTGGCACAAAACAAGAGCTTGATCACTATTATCATCATATGTAAGTGGGGATGGGTTCTTCCAACCCTTGATGGTGAGTCTTTCTGTGCATCAATCTATAGTAGGGGGATTTTTCTGTGACCAATAATGTCAAGAGAGTTCCTGACACTCTTGTGGCACTAAACATTACTCACCCATGAGCTAAAGCCATGTGGCCTCCCAAGACCTTTCCCCTGTCTGGAAATCTTCCCATCCATCTAATTTTTCCACGTCCTTGCAATGGAAAATAAATGATTAATTAACCTGCCTCAGTTAGGATAACTACCCCAAGCCCAAAAGGATGGCCCTCTGATGGTAGTGACAGATAAGGGCCAAAGCACCATTAGCCCTGGAGCTCCTGCGCCAACTCATGAAGGGTGACATTTCAGGTGGGCTGTCGGCTATGCTCAGAAACAGGGAAGAAGAGGAAGTAGTCAGTGGCCAGACTGCCTGGTTTCAACACTGGCCCCATCTCTTAGAGCTGTGTGACCTTGGGCAAGTGTCTGAACCACTCTGTGCCTCAGTTTCCCCAGGTATGAAGTGAGGATGATAGTAATGACATCTTCCTTATGAGGTAGCTGAAAAGATTTGCATTAAATAAAGATAAGGACTGGCCTTTTGATTCTTGGTTCACAGCTCTCGAGAAGGTCAGAGGTCAGAAAGCCCCCAGATGTGGCCACCTGGGACACATGAGGGGCAGAAGCAGAATCTGGTACACAGATGCCACCTGAGAACCTGAGGAAGCTGCTGGCCCATGGCTCTGGATCATCAGCTTTGGTATAAACATTGTGTCTGTAGTCACTGCCCTCGAGCAAAAAATACAACAAAGGCTCAGCACCTGTGGCTCAAGTGGCTAAGGCACCAGCCACATATACCTAAGGTGGTGGGTTCGAATCCAGCCCGGGCCCACCAAACAACAATGATGGCTGCAACCAAAAAAAATAGCCAGGCGTTGTGGCGAGCACCTGTGGCTCCAGCTACTTGGGAGGCAGAGGCAGAAGACTTGCTTGAACCCAGGCGTTGGAGGCTGCTGTGAGCTGTGATGCCACAGCACTCTACCCTGGGGGGACAGCTTGAGGCTCTGTCTCAAAAAAAAAATGCAGCAAAAATACAGAAATGTGGAATTCTGGGGGGTTTTTTGTTTTTTCTCTCTGTTTCTTTTAAGACAGAGTCTCACTATGTTGCCCTGGGTAGAGTGCTGTGGAGTCACAGCTCACAGCAACCTCAAACTCTTGGGCTTAAGCAATGCTCTCACCTCAGTCTCCTGAGTAACTGGGACTACAGATGCCCACCACAACACCCGACTATTTATGTTGTTGTTGTAGTTGTCATTGTTCTATAGCAGGCCTGGGTCAGGCTCGAACCTGCCAGACTTGGTGTATGTGGCTGGCGCCCTGCTCACTGAGCTACAGCGCCAAGGCAGAAATGTGGAATTATAAATGGGGACCAGGAAAGTCTTCCAGGAAGAAGCAGGTTTAGATCAAGGGACAGAGGAGAATGGATAGCTGACTTGAGGGCAATTGGGAAACTGTTCATCTAGCTAATAAGCATTTATTAAGCACCTACTGTGGGCTCAGAGCTTTGATGAAGGAAACATTGAGCCATGAAAGCACAAGTAGTGGGGTCCAAGAAGGCTACCCAGAGGAGGAGGCATCTCAGCTGACACCTGAAAGATGATGAGAGAAAGGAGACCCAGAAGCAGAGGAGGAATGCAGAGAAAGCAGCCGCCAAGAGTGACGCAGGAATAAGAACTTGGGGTAGGTCGAGGGAGTCCTCAGGAGGCTGGAAGTTGAGGTAGGGCAGCAGAGAGGTCTTAAGAGGGATTGGAACCAGAGTGTGACACACCTCAAAGCATGCCAGGAAATATACCTTTCTCCTGAGGGTACTGGGGAGCCATAGAGGGTATAAGACAGAAAGTTGCTGTGGTCAGACTTGCATTTTTTTTTTTTGAGACAATCTCATTCTGTTGCCCTAGGTAGAGTGCCGTGGTGTCATAGCTCACAACAACCTCAAACTCTTGGGCTTGAACAATCCTCTTGCCTCAGCCTTCTGAGTAGCTGGGACTAAAAGCATGTGCCATTTTTCTATTTTTAGCAGAGATGGGGTCTCACTCTTGCCAGGCTGATCTCCAACTACTGAGCTCAAGCGATCCTCCCACCTTGACCTCCCAGAGTGCTAGGATTACAGGCATGAGCCACTGTGCTTGGCCCAGACTAGCATTTTTAAGAGGCTAGAAGGTTCCATCTGCCTGGGGAGATGGTGGGCTGGTAGGGCTTACTACACCACAGCCCTGAATCTCAGGCCTCTGCACCCTTTGCTTCCCAGCCTATCCTCCTCTTCCTCCTAGTTTAGCTCCTCCTGCTGAGCCAGCAACCCCACATCCCATCACCTCCTGGGGAATGGACAAAACCAAACCTGCCCTGGCTGGCTGCCCCATGCCTACTGGGAGGTGGGGTGTGGGGCAAGGTTATTCCTAAGACCCAACTCCCCCCGAACAAACCCCAAGTTCTTATTCCTGTGTCACTCTTGGCTGCTATTTTCTCTGCATTCCTCCTGCCAGGTTGAGCTGCTATGAAAACCCAAAAGTGTGGCTCGGCGCCTATAGCTCAACCGGCTAAGGCGCCAGCCACGTACACCTAAGGTGGCGGGCTCGAATCCCCAGCCCGGACCCGCCAAACAA